TCGAGGCAGATGACCGCCCACATTGAGCCTGGTTCTGCCAGAGGTTTCTCCCTGTTAATGAGGGAGTTTTTCCTCTCCACAGTCGCCTGTGCTTGCTCATTGTGGGAACTGTTGGGTTTCTCTATGTTAATATTGTTTTAAGGTCTTGACCTTTAAAATGTAAAGTGCCTTGAGATAATATAAATTATGAATTGGCGCTATATAAATAAAATTGAATTGAATTGAATTGAATCTGGGGATGAATGGGAAAACATTTGTGAATTACAATGGAAAACCACAACTTCACACAACTGGAGAGAGTTTGGAATGAAAAACATTATGAGATTTTTTATAACAGCTGCTCAGAAGAGACATCAAGGCAGTGGAAAAGTTGTTGGAGGATGTGTGGTTTAGAGGTGGCCAAATATTATCATCTATTTTGGGATTGTCCAAAACTTTCATCTTTCTGGCATGACATTCTTGATTGTCTGGAATATATGTTTCGAATAACTACACAATTTGATGTCGGCTCAATGTATTTCTGGACCACAGTATTCCATATGCAATCAATAGCAGACAAATATCTTATTAAGATATTATTGATTGGAGCAAAGAAAGCTATAACAAGGAAATGGCTACAACCCAACGCACAGACACTGGAAGACTGGCAAGGGACTATTCACGAAATCTACATCATGGAGAGACTGACATTCGCTCTAAAATTCCAGTCTGAGAAATTTAAGAGTTGGTGGTCAAAATGGATCAGATACATAAGCTCACGGAGACCTGAACTGCTTTAAGTACCTCTATTACATTACTTGAAGTACCAGTTTATTAATCTTGATGGAAAAATTAGTAAATGTGACTTCCTTTGTTCAAATGTTCCTACATTGTAAAAGAAAAGGAGAGCAATAGTTTGGAGAATATGTTAGCACAATTGTTCAAATACATGTTTTCGTAATGGTGCTGAAATGACTTTCTATGTTTCTCCCTACTGCAGAACTAGTTTTGTCTTAGTGTTTGTGCCATAACTACTTGGATTAACCTTACAGACCTATTATCGTATAACTGAGACCGATTTCATATGCAAAGGGAATTTATTGTGACACAATCTCAGTACTAGGGACAGAGAGACAGACAACAGTTAACCTGAAGAAACAACAGGTAGTGCAACTCGAACATCGTATAAATAAACAACAATAAGACAACACCAAATCCACCACAGGCTGAAGATCAGCTCCGTCTTCAGCTCCAGTATGTGGCAACACTTCATTGCAACACTTTTAACAGTGGTTATTTTGGCTTTACGGTGAAAAATGATCACTTCCGGTTGAATTTCAAAGTAAGAGACATCAACCTCAAACAAAGCGTCTCCTTGGGGAGGAAGAGGAGGAGACTGGTCTGGTTGCTGTGCCACATCACACAACACAACACAATACAACACATCGGTGATAGCTGTGTAAACAGGTCAGACACACACTCTTCTGTCCCAGAGGTATTCAGATACTGTTCAATGTAACTGTCTGAGGGAAGTAAGCTTTAACCAGGTTAGTGTGTTTTTTTTAGATCGTCCAGTTGGCGATCGTTAGTGAGCAGGCTAGCGTAATGTAGCTAACTAGCTGAGTTTATTCAACTGCTGTGGTGAGAAGCTAAAGTTGTTATTAACATGGCCAGGTGAAAGCAAGGCAGGGGAAGTATGTGAACCTACCTATTTGATGCTGTGTCCACTTCTGCTGATAAAACCCTCATGCTAGCTCGGCTACAGTCAGACCACATAACTATATACTCGTGACAGATGGTTCGCTAATGCTAATATCAGCAGGACGGTTTGCACGGGAAGAAACCTAAATGTAGTAATGTACCTGTAAGTATGTAAAGGTACATAGAGCGGTACATAGAGCAGTACATAACCATATCTTCTAGTTTTATAGAAAGAACACAGGCACCGTGGTCATCGCTCATTGAAGAACACTGTTTACTTTGCATCAGAAGACATGTGCCCTGTGTTAACGATGCAGATACAGACATTGCCAGCAAAGTGGTCTCAGTGTGAGAGCCAGAGAGTGATTCACGTCAATGGTAGACTTGTTATCAAGTTGCCCTAGTGATCCTGTTGATTTCAGGGTGCAGTGTGTGTTCAGTTCTTATTTGATCTGTAACACTGCAAAGTCTATGAATCAAACATTTTTCATGTAAATGTGTGTACTTGTTTCTGTTGTTAATTTTTTCATCCTTAAGTTTTTTTTATCTCCTTTGCGGTAGGGCCTGCGGCCATGGCTAAAGACCCGTTGGCAGAGGCTGGCATTTATTTTGATGAACTCAACAAGCTCAGGGTACTGGAGCCTGATGTAAGCCAGAAGACCTCAGAGCTGAAGGAGGAGTGTAAAGAATTTGTGGACAGTAAGAACTGAAGACATTGTCAAGGCCATCTGGTCATGAGTGTTTCTCTCTGCTGATAGCAACTGGATTTACATAAGTGTGACTCTGTCTGTTCCAGAAATTGGCCAGTTTCAGAAGATAGTTGGAGGTCTGATTGAGCTGGTTGATGAACTGGCAAAAGAAGCAGAGACAGAAAAGATGAAGGTATGCTTTTTTAAAGCTGGAATGGATGATATCTCGTTCAGCTGTACAGTATGTGCCTGTGTTTGTTCATGAGAGTATTCATCCGGTGTTCTCCTTTAGGCGATAGGAGCCAGAAACCTGCTGAAGTCAGTGGCAAAACAAAGGGAGGCTCAACAGCAGCAGCTTCAGGCTCTCATAGCAGAAAAAAAGATGCAACTTGAGAGGTAAACAGTGAGTGTGTTAACTCCATAAAAAAGCCAAAATCGTGCTGGTCTCTTCCAGATGGTTATGGTTTTCTGTCCATTTAATTCAAAGGATTGGTCCCAAAATCCATTTAACAGGCACAAGGCCACGGTGTTGATAAGCTACAACATTATCATTTATACTGGATAAATTAAGAAAATACATTTCCTACAAAAGTTACCCTTCACATTTTATCTCACCAACTCTTTTCTGGTAAAGCCATTAGTTCATGATGCATTTTAGCACACATGCACACACGTACACACGTGCAAAGAACCTCTGGACATAGATGTGTACAGCCCCTGCAAATGTCCGAGGGAGAGCCTCCGGACTTTCTCAGGACTTTCTCCATATGGACCCTAATAAAAGGTCAGCAGAATGTCTGAAGGAGATGATTTGAGAACAAAATGTGAGATCCTCCGCAGGATTCACTACAAGCAAGTGGGTTTGTTGATGACATTTTTAACATGTGACACGTGCAAAAATAAACAAGAAAACTAATATCCAAGGATGAAAAAGCAGTGCCATATATATATATATATAGAAATCACCGACAAATATGCCAAGAGAGTTTTTGGTGATAAGGGCCGACGCTGGTGTAAATGTGTTGTAGACAAAGACATGGCTGGGGATGTCCACAGTGAAATCCAGAGAAAATTCCTCCAGAGTTCATGTCTGAAAATGGCTAAACAGTTAGCCATTGTTGTACCAATTATGTTGTGTATGCCAGCAGGCTGGAGCCCACATACAGTTAACCACTACTTGACACGAACATGGGTTAATGATTTTTAAAAGTAGTAGTTAAGGGTGCATTCATAAATTCCACTTGATGAATGCAGATTCTGTTTCTGAACACTCAGAGCAGGAGCAGATTTAGTCATTTTAGGGCTTCAGGTAAACTTCTACACAGTTAAAGTCAATAACAATGATATATTATTGATTGTATAAAACCTGCCACTAAACTTTCCACATGATCAGGACACTTGATCCTACACAGTACTCAGTGAAATGTTGTCTTCCCAGGTCCAGACAAAGCAACTTTTATGGTGCTCACACATTTTACTGGAACTGCTTTTAACAAAAAAATAAACTCCTGTATATTGAATGTAAGCATGCATTTAACAGTTATCAGCAGGATATTCTTTTATTAAAATAAAAAACAGCAGTCCAGGCTGTGTTTCATGGAGCCAGTCAGCAGTCATTACAATAGTCATGTCCTATTGGCTGCTTTCCAGAACAGTTTGAGTTT